GGGCCGGGAGCGCCCGGCCGCCGCTACCGCCGCCGGGCAGCTCCGGGCCATCGGCGCGGCCCTGCCTGCGCTCACACCGCTCCTGCCTCCGCCACAGCGGGGTCCTTTACCCACCTTCCACTCACTCGTTCAGGAATTTCTGCTAATAGCGAAGTGCTGAATAACGACTAGTGTAGATTTATATCCAGCGTATAAAAGAAAACCTGAAGTATACAAGGACTTCAGGCAACTTTCATTTATCAGAATATAAATCTCTAAGGGTTCATAAAGTAACAGTAACATAACCTAAGTTTAAGAGACTTCCTATTGTACTGGACAACAGCTGTGAAATACTGAGATTTAACACAGAAAATACACTTTTCAAGTATTTGTAACATTTAATGAATCCAAAATGTTTCCTCTACTGTGAAATAGACATTGTAGTCAGAAGTTCACATTACAGGAGACATGTGTGCTCCAAAGTAACCACACTCACCTCAGTGGAACTGCTCCATTTTCAGTAGTGCACTGAATCCACCCAAGATGTGAAGAGTGAAAAATTCATCAGGCAACATTCAGCACTTCTAAAGGAAGCAGCACTGCCTTGCCACATCTTCTGACTTGCACAATAAAAAAGACAAACCATTGCAAAGAAAAAGGATTCTGGCACATGGAGTCAGACCAGGCAGGCAGAGACAATGAATTACTGTGAGGCAGCCCTGAGTCAAAAGTTCTTAGCAGATCTAATCACAGCACCTCTGACTACATGAAATGACGTACAGATTTTAAACTGCTTATGCTGTGAGATAAAAAAGGTTTGAAGCCAATTTGACTTCAGCTTTTCCAAGATAGCATGTAGTAAATTTAAATGAATACTCAAAAATGGCTTTTATCCAGTTCTAGCAGGAGACAATTGGATTCAATACTGTTACTATTTTTGTAGGAATTTCCAACAAAACTGCACAATAAACTTGCCCCCACACTTTAATAGTTGACTGTCCAGTTCAGTTTGAAACCACAGAACTTAAATTGAAGGTTTCTCTGAAGCTGCAGAACTGTGTGTACTTTTTCCCATTACTGGAATGAAATTCAGACAGCATGTTGGCATTCACTGGATGACATTGCAGTGAGACAAAATGAGATATTAACAGTACAAAACTATTCATGTTGATCTTGGTATTTAGAGGGTTTTGCTGGTTTTCAATTTTAAATAAGCAACTTCTTTTAAAAGAAGTTTTGCCATTTACTAAAATGTACTATGAAGGAATTGGTGACAAGTATTTATGTCATCTTGACTCATTCCTTTTCTTGTGAAAAGATAATTGAATCTTACAACCAGAAAATACTGTTTATTAATAATTTTGTTAATGAGATTTACTAAATGGACACAGTCAAGTTTCCACATATACAGAAGTTGTGCAGATTTATTTAAAAAATAATTCATGGACATTAACAGTCCTAATTTAGGTATCTGTTGTAAAACTTTCTTCAGTGGAAGTGTGTTTCCATGCTTCATATGGAGGTGGATGGAGAAAAACAGCTGAAGCTGGTACAAAAACTATGCTGAGCCTACCTACAGTTTGGAGCAATGGCATCAGCTTTTAACTATGGCAAGAAAAAATGATGAGGCCAATGGAGCCGATCAAATAAACTGCAGATAGTATGGAGCGTGTATATGCCATCATTAGTTACATGATGTAACAAGTGAAATGAAACCTTTTTTGTGACATTTAAATCAGAGGAAGATGACACTGCACACATGCCTATTTTCAAAACCCAAACCTAGAAAAGCATGAAATTGCCATAGCAGTCCCTTGCTTGGGGAGGAAGGGTAAAGAAGTGTTCAACACTCGGTTTCATCTCTGTTACTGAAAAGGTACATTACCATGGACATTTTTTCCCTAATCTACAGGTACTATTTATTAATATTGCTTATATCATGGATTAGCAGTTTCAATGATTTAGATTCGATCAGCATAACACAATGCTGATTGCGTGGTTTATAAAGCTGTAAATAAGTCAGTCTGCTGAGAACTTCAATGAAAAGAAGGCTGCAATGGACAGAAGACACTTTCTCCAACTACAACAAATCCTATTTTCAGATTCCCTCGGATGTGGACCCTCTAAGGAAGCATCTGCCAACACTAATTAATGCACAGTAAAACTAGACCAACCAATCCAAATAAGCCTCCAGCAACTCAGGATACTAAGAACCCAAAAATTACTTCAAATTAACTTTTAGAAGAGAGTTAACAACTAAAATAAAGCTTCTATTAGCCTTGATTTTAGAAAGAAAACTAAAGCATACGCTTGAAAAAAAAGAAAAATTTATTTAATCCTTTCATCCCAGGTATATTGCACACTACAGGCTACCCCACTCTTCAGTTTCTCACACGTAACGCACTTGGGATGCAAGAATCGGGGGCATGAAACAATCACAAAGTTTGTGGAGAAGATATGTGGAACCAAGTCACCTTGCTTGCTATGAAATGCCACTATCAGTGAGTGTTTCACTACACATGGGGTATCTACCCTCAGTCAGGGAAAGGAAATATGGTTATTTCAGGTGCTGGTTGGGTGGTGTTAGGGGTTTTTGAATGCAGGGCAGCAGGGCTGTGAACATGGCAGTTTGTCCTTGATAAAGCAATCGGGCATGACTAACAAGATTGTTGTTTGTACAGCTCCTCCCTTGGGTAAGCCAGTAATTCCAGGGCAACAAGCACAGGGCACTTATACCTTCCACACCCAAGGGGATCAACAACAGATCTCTGTTTTCACTGTTTAAATAACAGAGCAATTAACTGGAGAAGCCTGAAGGAAACAAATCATGCCATCCAACAGTCTATTGCTGAGCAATCTGACACATGAAGAGCTGAGATTCTGCACCTCATTAAGAGATTTGTGCTGCTATTTGCCCAGTTTGGGTGTTGAACAGTAAGTGGCTGTATGACACATTCCCTGGTTCTATAGGATGTGTTCAGTAAGCAATATAGTAAGAACTACTCATGTTAGCTGCAAAAGAGGACTAGCATTTACTGACTGGAAAAGTAAAACTGTCTCTTAATTATATTTACAGTATCATGTTCATGGCCCTTATTTTTTAGGTCTAGCACATGAATTCAAGTGCACAGAACTTCACCCTAAGTTAGAGCAAATTTCACTGTTTAAGGAAAACCTATTTGACCCCAAAAAAGTCTGCTTCTGGTGAGTCAGACTAACATATAAGGTGCACATACTAGAAAAGAATGGAGTATATTTGTTCAAAACACCACAAACAGGCTTCAGGAAGCTTTCAGCACAGCTACTACAGAAATGGCTGAGTGAAAAAATGGAATGTTAACCCTCTTCATGACATCAGAAGCTGTGGAGCAAGCAGAGCAGAGTACCACTGCATGGCAGGAAGGAAAAAGGTTTGTAATGTAGCTTCACCTACTCTTTCAACAGCTTGAGGTTATCCTAAGGCTTGATGTTGGTGCGATTAAAAAAGGATCTTTAGAACCAGAGGTTTTCAGACCTGCTGGGTGAATTCCAAAGCAACTAAATGACTTCTACTTTCTATGGCACCTAAGCAACCTTCAAGAGACCAAAAACCCATCCCAATTTCATGAATGACCATTTTATTTTCATGTATTTCAGTAGTTACAAATATAGTAGTTGACTGAGTATTTGCTTCCTTCTCCCAAGTAGCTTTATTAAATAATCAAGTGGGTTTTAAAACATAGCTTTTAAGCACATTTTGATTAGAAAAATATTTTTTGTGAATCCTGGATTAGACAGATATTAATGCTTCCTCTCATATTTTGAAGTAATTCTACATGCTGGTTTCTGAAACATATACTTTTTTATCTATCCATAAGAAAAGAAATACAAGCATTTATTTCATACCAGTTCTATAAGTTTTGTATTTTGAGCTTGAAAACAGTTGGAAAAGTTTAGTTTGCTATACACATATATATATATATATACACCTCTAAATACACAAGATACTGCAATTTCTCAATTTAACACTACTCCTCTTACCTGAAGATGGTTACAAAAAAATAGTCTTAGTTGCTGTAACATTTTTTTTTTACAAGTTGGATATGGTTACAAGATCCTGTATTACAAAATGCTTGATTCCATTAGCTTTTAAATGGACAAATAGGTATTTTAGGTTGATATGCTTTAAAGTCGTGTAGCTTGTAGCGTTTGCCATCATAACAAAATAGAAGAGAAAGTTAAAAACCAACTTTACACTTTTTACTTAAAAACCACATAAGAAATGCAATACGGAACATACTGAAATGGAAATTTTTTTTCAACAAACAATATATAATATTAACAATATGCAGAAGCACTAAGCAGCAATTTTTTTTTCTTTGTAATACTGCTCCAGCAATTGTTTACTTCCTGTAGATTTAGGACTACAATTAACTGATACTGCATGAAGAGATCTGCAGTTGAAAAACTGACTTGAACAATACCCCACAGAAATTCTACTCTTTTAAGTAAAAGAAATGGGATTCTTCTTACAATCATGTAAAAATTATTGTAAATTAAATCCCAACTTCCATACAATTTACTTTTCTGCAGTCACATATACAACACTGCTATTTCCTAGGCTACCTAACAGAGGAGGTAACCTCTGTATCTCCACAGGCAAAAGGCTGACAGCAAATCTTTTAATATTTTGTTATGCAAAACAACAAAAAAAAAACCCCAAACCCTTTGAAAGTGTTGTTAAAGCACTGTATTATGGTTTTTAAACTCAAGTAATAAAGCATGCCCACAAGGCATTTCTTCCACCAATCCATGCTGCAACCAAGGGAACCAGCCCTATTTCTGTATTATAAAACTAGACTATTACAGAGGGCTCTCCGTCGCTCTATGCACCTTTGAACTCTAAAGACAACTGACTCATATTTGAATTTTAAAAAACTCAATTCAAGCATACGAAAATTTCTGGGGAACCCCTATCCCACACTGACTCTTAAACTTTGTTTAGCAACACAGTTAGCTAGCTCTTTTTTTTTTCTTCATGGGAGTAAAGTTTGGCCTTTGAAAATAATGAATACTTGAGATCAGCATGATCTTTAAATACCTGCCCTAGCCAAATGCTTTTACAGGGTTCTTTGTGCATCTTTCCAACCCAGCACAGACCTGCTCCGTAGGGAATTGTCACATGAGCACCAGCTAAGCCTCATTTACAGAACATGGCCCATAGCAAAAAATGCCAAGCCCAAGTTCAATGAATGCTTTTGCTTACAAGAAACCTCCTGGCATCATGTAGTCCAATACCCCTGGTCACACATGGTCAGCTGGAGCAGGCTGCCCTGCACATGTACAGTCAGGCTATGAGTATCCAGGGAGAGCAACTCCTTAAACTCTCTGGGAAACCTGTCTCAGTGTTTGATCACCCTCTCAGTAAAAAGCTGTTTCCTTGTGTTCAGATGGAACCCCTAACTAACTTGCGTCCACTTAGTCCTGTCACTTAAGGCTACTGAGAAGAGGATGGCTCCTCCGTCTTCATTCCCTCCTGCCAGGTGCCAAGATCACCCCCAAGTCTTTTCTTCCCCACAACTGCAAGTTGCAGCTCTCTCAGCCTCTCATACATGCTCCTGTGCTAGAGCTGCTCCACTAAGTGTATATCCTTCAAGTACCAGGGGGTCCAGCACTCCAGATGGATCCTCATCAGTGATGAGTCACGAGGAAGGATTACCTCCCATCACCTGCTAGCAAAGCTTTGGCCTCTGTTGCCACAAGGTTGCATTGCCAGCTCAGTCAGTTTGCTGGTCAGTTACCCCCCAGTGGAACATTCCCCCTTACTGAACTTGGTGAGAATCCTGTGTCCAGTTCTTCATCCTGTTGGGGCCCCTCTGAAAGGCAGTACCATCAGCTGGTGACACTAGCTACTCCTCCCAGTTTATATGGATTGTAAACTCCATCCCATGATTCAGGTCGTTAATGATGTAGTATTGGCCCAAGTACTCAGCTAGAGGGTACACCACTATTGAGTTGCCTCCAACTGGATTTTGTGCCACTGATTAAACCCCCTGTGCCCCCTCATTCAGCCACCTTTTAATCCATCTCACCTTCCACGTATCTAACCTGTACTTCACCAGTCTGTCTACTGATGTAAATGGTAAACACCACAGACTGTTCTCCCAACATCCCCAAAGCTCATTGTAGATGGCAGTAGGACTGGTCAAGCAAGATTTCCCTGTTGTACATCTATGTTGACTACCCCAACCGCCTTTTAGAAATGCTTTCCAGGAGGATTCTTTTCCATCACATTACCAAGGGCTTAGGTGAGGCTGATTAGCCTGTAGATTGCCAAATCTTCCTTCCTAGTTTTCTTGAAGAGTGGTATTTTCTCTTTTCTAGCCTCCTAGAACATCTCTTAATCTCCCTGGCCATTCCAAGATAAACAAGACTGGCCCTGCAATGGCATTAGCCAGCTCCCTCAACACTTGGGTGCAATCTGTCAGACTCACGGAATTCCAGGTAAAGTGCACCCTAACCCAATCCTTGACCACCAAGGTTCCAGATTTCTCCACTAGTCTCAGAGGCCTGGAATTCCTGCATGCTTGTTTTACTGGCAGTGACTGACGCAAAGGCAGCACAGAGTACCTCAGCCTTCTCCATGCCATCGGTCACCAGCTTCCCTGCCCCATTTGACAGCAGGCTCATCTTTGCTGTTCATGTCCTTGAAGAACCCTTTCTTGCTATTCTGCCTGAAGGCTGAGGAACTATCCCACAGCAAATGGCTACTCTGGCTCCTCAGGCCACGTGCCTTTTGCCACACTCACAATGCAGTCCTGAAACTTCTGGCTGCAATAAAGAGAAGGCTTTCATTGCACAGGGGGGCTGGTCAGGAGTCCAAGCTGATTTTTCTGGCCTATGCTTTGTGCAGTGGAAGGCAACATACGAAATGATCTCTCTCATGTGCTCTTTAAAATGTTTGTAACTTTGTGTATATCTACTACGATCTCAAATTTCTGTATAAATGTGTAATGTTATAGACACAGTGAGGATATAAGAAATAACGTACTTGGAGGCTCAAGTACTGTATCAGAAATATGCACTGACTTGGTAAAAAAAATTACCGTAATTATATTAAGCAAAATAATGACTAAACATTGCTGATTAGGAAGATGTAAAACAAAATGAGTGGTTTTCCCTGTAATTTTAACTGCAGAATTCACCTGTATGACTTCTACTTAAACCCTTTTCTTCTCATGCAGCATTACAGTATTTTCCCCCCACCCATCCCACAAAACAAAAAAAAACAAAGATTCCACTAGGTGTTACAGATTGCACTTTTAAAGCAGACTTGCCAGTCTTCTGCATTTCCAGTGTCCTATTTTAATCTGTTGACATACACAGTCTCCCATTTTATGATACTGGAAGATTTCGCCTAAGTACTTCTTTTGATGCTGGAGAAATGTTATCTGGGAAAATTACTTCAAACTCTATAATTAAGTCTCCCCGTTGGTCAGGATTTTTGGGAAATGGCAAACCATATCCTATAATTCTTCTTCTCATCCCAGGCTTTACCACTTCATTGACTGTCATGGGTATGGTTCTTCCTTCTATCGTTGGCACATTGAAAGAGCTGCCACACAAAGCCTAAAGAAAGATTGTAATATGAGAAAAAGAAATTGGTCAGAACTTTTTTGTACCTGTATATGAATTTGGATTATTTAAAAGTGACTAGAATTTTAAATAGCATTTTTCCTATGCACTTCTCAGATGTCAAAATTTTAATACAATGTTCCTCTCTTAAAAAGAGAAAACTTTCATTTGTCATTGAATATTGCTGAATTTATGAATGTTACACAATGGCTACTGGAGGGTAATT